GAACCAACGCACCTGGCCTATTTTTATTTGTTTTTTTAGACAGAGTCTTGCTCTATGGCTCAGGCTGGAGTGCAGTGGTGTAATCTCAGCTCACTGCAAACTCTGCCTCCTGGGTTCAAGTGATTCTCCTGCCTCAGCCTCCCAAGTAGCTAGGATTACAGGCACGCTACACGATGCCTGGCTAATTTTTGTATTTTTAGTAGAGACAGGGTTTCGCCATGTTGGCCAGGCTGGTCTCAAACTCCTGACCTCAAGTGATCTGCCTGTGTCGGCTTCCCAAAGTGTTGGGATTACAGACATGAGCCACCACACCCAGCCAGTTTGTTGTTGTTGTTGTTCTTTTTTTCTAATGCTGAAAGTTATCGTAAATACTGAAAAATAGTCAGCTGTAAATGGAAGAAAGTTTACTAGAATTAGTGCCAGTTTTGGCCCCTAAATAACAGCAACTCTATAAATATAGCATAAGTAATGACTAAAGATGGAAGTCGTTTATGAGAAAAAAGTCAAAAGATCACAGTGGTACAACTAAGAAAATGAATCAGCAGTATGTTATTTCTGTTAATTAAAAAACGACTTTAATACCGGGATCTACAATTAAGACTAGGTTATATCATGTTGGAATAGTGGAGAAATCATCTAATCATGTTCAACATTGATAGAATCAGTTAGAATACAAGGATGTCTTGTATTCGGGACCCCATAAGGCAGAAATCTGCACACGAGCAGTATCCACGTCCTCTGGGCCTTCGTTTCCCCAGACCTTGCACCTCCATTTTTCCCCGGCCATGTATTGCCCAGAATGAGCTTCCGCTCACTTCGTTCACACTTAGCTGTGTTCTCGTTAAAGCTTGTTCCCATCTGTTGAGTTGCTGTTTATCACATTTCAGCCTCTGGCATCAGAGACTTCCTTTATGAAAAGTCAGAAAGTTCAAAAAAACCTGGAAACAGAATCTGACATCCACGTGAATCTCCTTGAGGCTTTGAAAATATTTGTGATGCTAGAAATGGGCTGTCTTAGAAAGTTCAGTTCATTATTTGCACTTTTCCTATACTTTCCTGTTTTTTCCAAGCTTCAAAATAATCTGATAGACTGTGTTTGAGATGTATAGTTTCAAATATTATGATTTGATCTTGTTTTCCTGAAATTACAACCTTTATTAAATGTAGAAAACATTAAATTTTCTATATTTTAAACTATAATATTATGATATCGTGGAGCCAATTAATTTTATAAGGACTATGTTTCTTTTACAATAACATTTAGTAAGAAAATTGTATGCAAATTCTATTTCTGTGTGGATTTATTTTGTAATTTATAAGAATAGACATCTCACAAAATGAGGTGTCCTTGTGGCTTCATACATTCAACAGGTATGTGTGGGGAGGTTTTTACATTTACAACAGGTATGTGTAGGGAGGTTTTTACATTTACAACAGGTATGTGTGGGGAGGTTTTTCCACAGGCATTGTAGACTCTGGAGCGATAGCAGTCATCAAGAGAGATAAAGTCCCCATCCTCTTAGAGCACACATTCTTGTATGGAAGATAGAAAATAAGAAAAATACTTATGTAATATAATCTTAGGTACTGGTAAATGCAATGAAGAAAACTAGAGCAGTGCGTGAAAGGAATTAGTTGACTGCATTATTAAAAATAGGCGGCCGGGCGCGGTGGCTCATGCCTGTAATCCCAGCACTTTGGGAGGCCGAGGCAGGTAGATCACGAGTTCAGGAGTTCCAGACCAGCCTGGCCAACATGTTGAAACCACGTTTCTTAATACAAAAAAAAATTAGCTGGGTGTGGTGGCATGTGCCTATAGTCCCAGCTACTCAGGAGGCTGAGGCAGGAGAATTGCTTGAACCCAGGAGGCAGAGATTGCAGTGAGCTGAGATCGCACCACTGCACTCCAACCTGGGCGACAGAGCAAGACTCCACCTCAAAAAAAAAAAAAAAAAAAAAGGCAGTATTTCATTGTCCAGGAAGGAGCAAAATAAACAAACAAAGAAAAAAGAATAGATACTATCTATTGATCTCTTATTTGGTACCAAGCACTATTGTAAATGCTACACATAGTGACTCATTTTATGCTCCAACAATGTTAGGAGATAAGCATCTTCATAAGAATCTTAGTATGGTCTTATTTACAAGTTAATTAGGAAGCTAAGATAGAGAAAGTTCAGGAACTTGCCCAGTTGGCAGAGCCAGGCAGGACTCACACCCATGCTGTGTGTCTTCAAGGCTCCATTTTTTATTTTAAAATGTCCAGATCATGGAACAGTCAAATGAACAGTGTTATGAACATACACATACCCTTCTCCAAGGTTCACCATTTGTTAATACAGTATTTTGCTACATTTGCTTCCTCTCTTGTATCCCTTGAAAGTAAGTTGTAGCATTTCCATGAAGTTGCAGTTCATCCTTAAATATGTATATGTACCTCCTAAGAACAAGAATGTTCAACTATATAACAAAATACAGTTATTTACCTCACTGAAGAAATTGAAGAGTAATGTAATACCATTGTCTAATATATTTTCAATTTCCCCAGTTGTCACTCTTGGTCACTGTGTTCCACTGCCTCCGTTGTCTTTTTCTCAGTGCTGATACTTAACCATAACTTGAATGTATGATAACACTACAGAGGGCCTTCACATTCATATCATTTTTTTAAATTGAGACAGAGTCTCGCTCTGTCGCCCAGGCTGGAGTGCAGTGGCGCGATCTTGGCTCACTGCAACCTCCACCTCCCAGGTTCAAGCGATTCTCCTGCCTCAGCCTCCTAATGGGATTACAAGTGCCCACCACCATGCCCAGCTAAATTTTTTTGTATTATTAATTGATATGGGGTTTCACCATGTTGGCCAGGCTGGTCTCAAACTCCTAACCTCAGGTGATCTGCCTGCCCCAGCCTCCCAAAGTGCTGGGGTTACAGGCATGAGCCACGGCACTCAGCCACACATTCATATCGTTCTCATAACCATCCCTGATTCAATCATGATGGCAAAGACTCAGAGGACACTGTTTTCTGGGAAATGTGTTCATTGTTCTTCACCTCACAACCCTGTTCTTCATCAAGTCAATGTGGATAACCTCAAGGAAAGTCAAAACCCTGAAAAATGATGGGATGGCACCTTAATCAAGGGCAAGTGTGAGATTATTTCTTCAAAGTCTGGCTGCCAGTCTTAGGAAAGACCTTTTTGCACTTACCAGTATTATCAAAATCAACTCAGAAGGAAAAGCTAATAAAAACTTCGCCAACATCTACTTTTGATCAGTTCCATCACATGGGGTATAGGTCTCTGAATATGTTTCATAAAAAGACTACTCAGTAAGTCCTCTTCCTTGTAATGGAGAGGGCTTGATTAAGCTGACATATTCCATCCTATAATTTTCAGGGCAACATTTTGCACCACGAGCCAAATCTTACACTTCGGATTTTGTTTAATTTCCAACTTTTCTTGGTAATGCCAAATATCAATACCATATTTAATCTTAACTCAAAATTCCTGTTTCTTGGAGTTGGACTTCCATCATGAGTACAACTCAAGATCACATTCATAGAAGTGTGCTTCCATATTTAAGGTACATGACAGTGTTGCCCGTTTACTCTTGGCTTTTTGTTTTTGGGCATTGTAGTTCCGTACACCTGCTTATTGGCCACCACTCATCTATCTGCTTGCTGATCTCTTAATTGGAGGTGTATTGACTCTTTGTTCCTCTATAGCTCTCAAATGTCACCTGAGTTTGGCTCTTGTTCTATAAAATTTCTCCAAAACACATCAGTGAACTGAACCACCACCCAATGTAGTATCAGATCATCTTATAGCTATAATTTTATAACGATACATTAATATCAACATCATCTATCCCCATGTCTGGGGCAAGATGTTATTGTGTGCTGTTTTTCGTGAGTTTTCATTCACTGCAAAACATTTATTAGACTGAAGAAAATGCACTGACCTGGTTTGGCAATCGGGGCTTAAACTTGGGAAAGGACCAGCCCAAGAATAAGCTCCTGATTTCCTAACAAATGAGGCACAGTTTTCCATTGTTTGCATTTGTATTTTTTTAACTTTTCCAGTTGATTAAAAAAACCTTCCAAAATGGTAAAGTGCCTATAAGATGATATCTTTGGAGGACCATACTTCCAGCAGTAATTTTCTTTTTACATTTTCCCTCGAGTTATACTCACTCCTCTCCAAGATATACTTTGGGAAACTTGACTCAACCAGAAAGATCCTTTTACCTTTTCTTCAGACTCTACATTGGGAGCATGAGCTTCATTTTTTGAGAAACTTCCCTCCTTCCCTGGAAGAGGGGTTCTTGGCGGCTGTCATGTTGGTTTTTGGTCAGGGAGTTCAGGTGCTGGGGGACACTGATATGATTTTTTTTTCCACCAACTCTATCAAGGTCTAATTTACATAGCAGAAAATACTCCCCGTAGAAGTGATTCAGTGATTTTGGTAAATTTATAGAGTTGGGCAGTCATTGCAGGTATCCAGTTTTAAAATGTCTCTGTTACCCAAAGAAATTTCCTTGTGTCCATTTACAGTTAATCCTCCAGCCCTTGGCAACCATCACTCTTTTTGTCTCTAAATTTCTGTAATCTTTTAACTAAGAGTTAAGAAGGGATTTTTTTTATCTTTCTGTATTTTACCTACAGAATCATTTTATTGATCATGCTAGGTTTTTCTTAATGAAACTGGCCCAGGCAGTGTTAACACATGGCCCTGCATGAACAGACTGTGCTCGCTGATGGTGATAAAGGAGCGTCTTGGGTTCCATTGTTTGTTCTCTTAAGTCAGAATATTTCAGTTTTGTGTTGACTCTACCATCTTTCTCATTGAACATTAACTAAAGGTAACTCTCAGCCTCATGTGCATGTCCACTTAAGTTATATCTTTCAAGAGAAGGGACCTGAAGGTTCTAATGTCTATGAGGCTTGGCTACTTCCATAGCAGCTTGAATGATAGCAGTCATTCTTCTTTGTACATCTACAGGTACAACTTAAAGAAACCATTGAAGATCTTCCTGGTAAAATGGATACTGAATTAGCAGAATCAGGATCCAATTTTAGTGTCGGACAAAGACAACTGGTATGCCTTGCCAGGGCAATTCTCAGGAAAAATCAGATATTGATTATTGATGAAGCGACGGCAAATGTGGATCCAAGGTATAAAGCTGAAGTCCATGTAACCTTGAGCCTACATCTTAAGTGTGTAAATGGGAAACACGGAATGATTCTGAGAAATGTTTCTAAGCACACTGTTTGCCCCAGAGATCACATTTTAACATGGATAACATTCATTCTGAAAAAACAGAAGAAGAAACCCAAACGTGTTTTCCAGTGTCAGTGATGTTATTCAGTATTCCAGGAGAGCTAGATTCCTAAAATCCACTCCCAATAATCAGTTTTAAGCAATTTGGGGGGAAGATATTTTTCATTGTTTTATGAAAATTAGTAAATTACTATATAGATTTTTTATAGAATAAGATTGTCCTAGAACATTTTAACATGCTTTTTAAAACATTGAATATATGTGATCTTTTTTTAAAAAAAAAACTCTATTGTGTAGGAGAGCTTTTTAAGTCTTAAGTCTACTTTTCCCATCTTTACGGAATTAAACTTAACTTCTTTGATTGCAGAACTGATGAGTTAATACAAAAGAAAATCCGGGAGAAATTTGCCCACTGCACCGTGCTAACCATTGCACACAGATTGAACACCATTATTGACAGCGACAGGATAATGGTGAGTCCTTCACCTGCAGAATTCCAGTTGCTTCCAATTATGTTCACTTTTTCAGTTTGTTCCTTCCTTGTAAAACTTGATAGAAACCCCTAGTAAGTTAATTTTCTGTTAATTTTGGCTCTCATTCCCAACAGTAATTCATATGCTTAACTACACCATCAGTGCCACTAACAATATATCCAATGTATCTCTCTGCATATACTCATATGCAAAAATCATATGTTAAAAGTTTACCATGAAAATATTCCAAATCTAAGATTCAGCTTGTGATGCTAACTGTCGTACTACAGAGTAGTATCAAATAGAAGATCACAGTCATCGTCACTGTCACAGTTGTTTCAGCATGCTTGATCCCCTTAATGACAGACTTAGGTTTTTATATACTGCAAGGGGCTCGTTGGGTAAGGTTGCAGAACTTCTCAGCTGTTGGGACGTTCACAAGAT